TGCTAAAAGGCTTGTTTTCCAAAGACTTTTCTTCTCTTTTTACACTCCCAGTGTGCTCTAAAAGCAAACTCAAAAGCAAACAGAATCCCTCCCCTCTCCTGGTGACTGCTCTGCTCCAAACGGTGGGGCCTGTTTTCCAACTGTTTTTCTTTCCCTAAGAAACTTGATTTCAGCCCAGAGGAGATCCTGTCCCCCAGCCCCCAGGCAGGTGCCTTGGTCCAATGGCTTTCACATCTTTCCACACATCTGGGATGTGCGACGGCTCTGTCATATTCTCAGTCCTCCCACCCACGACCAGAGCTGGATGAGTCACAGCTGAACAGGCCCAGGGAGGCGGGGGTGTGCGGACGCATGGAGATCCACCCACAGTGGGACTGGCACCCAGGAAGTTAAAGCCCTCTCCCAACTTCCCTCCTCCTCCCTTCCCTCCTCCCTCCCTTCGCCTTCACATGTTCAGCCATCTTATAGTTCATAAAGCCTGTCCTCACCCATTATTTTAGTTGCTTCTTATAAGATCTTGTACTCATTCCATTTTGCAGATGAAAAAACTGAGGCATAGAAAAGAAAAAAGCAGCTCAGGAACTGTGGCAGAAAAACACACAACCCTGACGTTTCCTGATGATTCAATTTTAGATCATCTCCTCCCAATCCACCCCCTACCTCTCCCTCCCAGCCAGCCTCCTGCACTTGACTTCCAGAGACAGTTCATTTAGAGAGGAGGAGGTGGGTGTCTTCAGGTTGAGCAATTCTTCAGGGTCCCAGGGGCAGCTCACTACACTGATAGGTGCACAGCAAATAATGAAAGGTACATTTTTGACGGCGTACAGAACCGAGTCTTCATGGAAGGTATTATTAAATTCAGCAAAACACAAAGGAAATTTAACTGAACAGAACTGATTATTCCATCAAGAAGGAATAGATTACAGCTCGCAGCATTCGTTGTCTAGACAAATCACTTAGATACACATGTACTGGTTTTAATTAGCACCATAAAAATTAAGCATTCTGTAGCCCAAAATGTAATTGTTCTCAACAAATCAAAAAAATACATATTCAACAGAGAACAAAACAGCTCAATCACTCCCAAGATGCCTAAATACACTGTGTTTTTTTTCCTTCTCCATTTAAATGAAAAGCCCACACAAGTCAAAATTGCTGCTACTTCCTGTGTCTGATGGAAGGTTCTATGTTCCCTCATCCCCCCACAGGATGTACAATTCTAAAGAAGTCACCCACAGGACTGGCTATACCACAGCAAGAAGCGTTCCACTTTTAGCCAGAGAAAGTACAGACTTTTTCCTGGTTTAATCCTTCAGGAAATTCTCAATGGACATAAGCACCTGGTCCAAGTTTCTATGTATTAGTGACCTATAACATCCCAGTATAAGCCTTCACAAAATCCAGACAGGGTCTAGGGGTCAGATAACAAAGGGTCTATGTCCTGCGCTTGGAGGAGTGGGAGGTCTAGGGAGGACTGGCAGGTGTGCGGGAGGAGGGAAGATGCCCTAGTCTGCTCCGACTGCTATAACAAAATACTTCTGGCATCTGGAATCTGAGATCAAGGTGCTGCTAGGGTTTCTGGTGAGGGCTCTCCTCCTGGCTTGCAGATGCTGCCTTCTTGCTGCCTTTCCCCTGTGACTGTGTGTGGAGAGAGAGAGACCTCTGGAGTCTCTTCTTATAAGAACACTAATTAGATTCAGGCCTCACTTCATTAAACCTTAATTATCCACTTAAAGGTCCCATCTTGAAATACAGTCACATTGGGGGTGAAGGCTTGAACATATGAACTGGGGGGCCACAGTTTAATTCATAGCAGAGGAGGACCATGGGTCCAGGGAGAGCAAGCGACACAGAATCTGAATACCTAACCTGCAGGTGCCACACTGGCCAGGTGAGCGGAGAGGCCCAGGAGGATGTGAGGCTTCAGGAACGTGAAAGGGGGGGGGCATTCTGGGCTCAGACACTTCAGTAGCCAATGCTCTGAGGCCTGGGACAGTCTGAGGAGTCTGGGAGGTGGGGACGCGGGGTATGCAGGTTTGGGGGGCCTTTCGCTCCCCGCCCTTGGTGATGCTGGGCTGCTCCCCACAGAGGGGACTCACTGCGACCTTGCCTCTTCCCTCCTCTGCCTTCTGGCTTCAGGCTGGCCTGGTGCCTCCAGCAGGAGCCTCCTCCCTGCCCTCTTTTGTTACCAGCCCTCCAGCCTTAAGCACCTCGCGCCTTCACCTGTGACTTACAGCTGCCGCTCTCCTGCCTGCTGTCAGTGGGCACCTGCTCGGCTGCAGGCTGTTTGGGGCATTTTCTCTGCTGTGTTTTGCATCTGCTACCCCCTCCTCTCCCACTGCAGCTCTGTAGCCCAGGACCAGTGTTCTCCCCCAGACAGGGTCTGGGATCTGCCGAATGGATGTTCTGGAGCTGGGGTCAGCCTCTGGCTACTATGATGAGATTTAAGCCACATTTATTTTTACCATGTGTGACGTACTCTGATGTTTTCTATTATATACCCTATGCTATCTCAATTAAAAAAATGCTGGTAATATTCAATAAATTCATTGCACAACCAATCAACTATCAAGCGATGACCTTAAGTCTGAAAAATTGATGGAGACTTCAGGCTCCTCCTAAGGCCAGCTGGGCTCTGTGTGGTCTGTTTCCAGCTTTACCCACCAGCTTCAGGGCCTGCCCTCACCACGTGCCTTCCTCTGCATTCGCTGCCCTCTTCCAGGTGAGGCGGGCAAGCCAGGTGCCGGCTCAGGCCTGAAGGCTGAGCTCCGGCGCACGCTCTTCCAGAGGCCCGAGTCTCCAGGGTCACTGGGCCAGCGAGGTGTCTGGAACTCCTGGCTCCCGCAGCACCTTGGACCCAGTGACTGTGCTGAGGGGTGGCTGGGGAGCTCCGCCTGCCTGAGGGGTCACCACCACCCCACCCCTCCCCAATGCACACCTGAGCTGAGCAAACACGGTTCTGAGCAAATGCAGCCTCTCCCTCTTCCTGTCTCTCCTCAGGCTTCCAAGCCTGTGGGCCACCCCTCAGCACCCCGTCGGGAAACTCAGGAACCACCCCTTCCGGCACACACCTCTGTTACACTGGTAACTGCGAGCTGTAATAATGTTATAGAAAATGCATTCTCTACTGGAGTATGAACCCTGCTACCAAACCCCGGGTGTGTGTGCGAGTGTGCGAGTGTGTGTGTGAGCGAGTGAGCGTGTGCGTGTGTGTGTGTGCGCACTTGCCATTGGAGCTCAATACTTATTTGAAGAAATGATGGAATGAACTGGTGTTTTTAAGCCCATTAAGCTTAGACTAAGATACAGTTGGAGCTGACTTCTGCGGGTACTAGGGATCCAGTGCAGACGGCTGAGACAGGGAGTGAGTGAGGGGGGCTGGAGATGAACAGGGGGCCTGGAGGAGGTGACCTGCTGCGCTACAGTGGAGGGGAGAATTGGCCTTAGAGGCAGGTGGGCCTCAGCTCAAATCCCGGCTCCACCACTCCCAGCAGTGTGGCCAGGACATGGAGGCGAAGTGTCTGGGCTGCGACCGAAGGCTGTTTGGGGACAGACCCTGACTTTGCCACTTGCTGGCTGAGTGATCTTTTTTACTTTTTAAATGTTTTTTAATTGATTTCAGAGAGAGGAAGGGAGAGAGAGAGAGAAACATTAAGGATGAGAGAGCCACTGATCTGCTGCCTCCTGCGCGCCCCATCCTGAGGATGGAGCCCAGAACCGGGGCCTGTGCCTGACCCGGATTCCAACGGTGACCTCCTGGTTCATGGGTCGATGCTCAGCCGCTGAGCCACACCGGCCGGGCTCCGCTCCCATTTCAGGGCAACCTCGGGCAAGCCCAAGCTCTCCGGCAGGGGCCTGGGCCGGGTGTCCTCACTGTTGGGGGGGGATGTGGGAAA